CGTCAAATATCTCACTAACATAATAAGGTATAGTAAAAATATCATTTTAGACAAAAGCGAAAACTGTGACTGATTTGAACAGGATTATGTTATTGTTGACTCATTGAATAATAAATAGGCGACAGCTGGTCCTTATATACAGAACTCTACCTCAGTATCCTAAAGTGAGTGGTTCTACTGTACACCACAACACGACATGACCAGTATGCTGATGTACTGTTACTGTTTCAGCCGGACAGCAACCAGGTGTCGTTCCACCTACCTCTACACAGGTACCTGTCGGTGTTCATGTGTCAGGCCATCAATGTACAAGGGGTGAGTCTACAGGAGGTGCTGCCTCCCCAGGACATGCTGCAGCTGATCATGATGCATCCGCTGAGAGTACAGGTAGGCACTCGTCTATCTATTCATGTATGGATACGACTCATACCGCAAATAACCCACTGGTAACTTATTTAAAGCTTACTGACGTTTTTGACCCACCGGTTTGCCATTTTGCTTCTGGTAACTTATCCAAAGCCCACTGAGGCTTTTGACCCACCGGTTTGCCATTTTGCCTCTGCTAACTTATTCAAAGCCCACTGACGTTTTAGACCTGCCGGTTTACCATTTTGCCTCTGGTAACTCATTCAAAGCCCACTAACGTTTTTGACCCACCAGTTTGTCGTTGTCTCACTGGTAACTCATTCAAAGCCCACTGGCGTTTTGACTCACCGGTTTGCGAATGTGCCTCTAGAAAACGGCATCAAAGGTTTCATTCAAAGGTTACTGACTTACTTACTCATTTAAAACCCACTGACGTTTTTGACCCACCAGTTTGCCATTCTACCAATGGTAACTTATTCAGTCACTATGCGCACTGACGTTTGTAGCTTGTGGTTGTGACGAGGGTGGCTTGTCTAACCGCTATACAACTTAGGTTCCTGTAAATCAGCTTGGAGGAACTGTCGAGACCGAGCCCTCAGTTTGAATACCACTCATTTTTATGACCCACTGCAATAACAGGATTTTAAATTGTAGAATAAAGGAGGATATAGCAGCTAGCTTTAGAAGTACAGGTAGCCCATAGAATTCACAGAAAAATACTGTTTATTTGATGTATCTTATGGCCTACCCTACCTGTACTTCTTCCAAGGTAAGCTACTATCTACTATCCCCCTTTATTCTACAATTCAGAATCTGGCCTAGAGCCTTACCATAGACAAAACCACTGCAATAACAGTTTTTTTTGCTACAAGGATGAAATTAAGAACGTCTACTGTGATTGCGGAGAGATATCCTACACCTCCTGTGTTCATGGAAGTCTGTTGCAGATGTAGTATAATTGTGAATATCCTTTACCAAAAAAACATTGTACAAATGTTTATGGCCTCCTCCAAACGTCGCCCATTCCTTACACACATAACGCCTAAAAATTTATCTCCGTTCATGTTTGTCAACTGGTAATGGAATTCAATTGGTTTTTGCTTCCATGAGTTTTTAGGAGGGTCTCTGGCCTGAGACCAGAGAATCTAATCAAAGAACATAACTCATGCCAGGGGAGTGTTGATTATCCCTCAAATGGTTATCGTCTACTATGACAGGGCTTATCGTCTCGTAAGAGAGCGACTCAACTATAATAGTAGTGGATGAAGTAAAGAACACGGTGCTGGTTACGAACTTGAACTAGCTCATTTGGCCGGTTACGTGATCATGTCTGAGACTTTTACTATTACGAAAAAGCCGAACTTACGGACAACCCTCATACTAACAGGGCTGCTACAGTTATGATTTTTGCTGAGTCGTATCCGGCATGTGACCTATCAACTTATGCATGGCATGATTGTGTAAGATGTACTATAAGCATGTATGGTGATGTGGAAAACAAGCAATAGTTGTACAGTAGACTCCCTCTTATCCGGACTCCTTGGGACCGAGGCCCCTGCGGATAACGGATTTTCCGCTTAAACCGTCGTCCCCAAAATCTCGTTAAAACGGACCGTTTAAATGCATACTCTATAGAGTATTTGACTTCAATTTAGGAGAGCATTGTATTTAGACACGTAATTACTGCTGGTCTCAAATCTTTACCACGAGAACAGTTGTTTCAGTACCGCCCACTTCCTGCCAATCTAGTCAGGTTAAATCGATGTGCTGATAAAAAATATCCGGATAAAGAGATGTCACTTCTACTGAGTCAGAGTGTAGTCCGGTTAAACCGATGTCCAGTTAAAAGGTGTCCGGATAAGAGGGAGTCTACTGTATGTGGTTGAAAAACTTTCCAAATGCTTAAAGTGTAGAAAGGACGTTGTTTTTAAAATGTGGTGGATAAAACTACGATTAGGATGCTCTTCAAAACTTCTTTAGCTCAATTGGAGGAATCTGATGAGTTAATGAGTAGCAACGGTCAGTTATACCTATGATACTTCGCATTCAATCCACTCAACATACGTACAATGATCTGTCAATTGATCAGTATTTGTGAATGCAATTTAAAAAAACACTCAATAAATAATAAAAGTAACAACCGGCGCTTCTGCAATTCGTCTCTTACGCGTGTATTGGTAGCCGTCATTGTCAAAATGTCCCCGCAAATAGGCCCTGTCCGGTTGGTATTGAACTAGTTGTACTGTACTCACATTTTAACAATGACGAGCTGTTGGCCCGTTCTACATACGGGAATCGAGTAGTCTATTAAAACTGTATGTAGTGTGTTTATTACAAATTCAAGCATAGTTTAAAGCAGTTCAAAATTTATAGTAAAGGAAAAGCTGCCAAGAAGAATTAAAACATGTGATCATTGTTATTTTCCCAACCTTTCCTAAAAAAAAAAAAGTTTTTTTTTAAGGTTTGTGAGCTTTGATTCACTGCAAAAGTTATAGAATCTTACTTATTTCCTATAATCTTTGACTATCAATACTTCAATATCCAATAGGCAATGCTATAATCAATGAAAAAATCACAGAGTAAATAAACTAACGTCATAGTTCTATAGAACATTTTTTTATTCACCCAGCTGTTAGTTATATCAAATTATATTGCACTAAAACAAACTAAATATTTTAAAGACTGCTCAAAAAACTAAATTAGAACATCTAGTATTTTACTCTGAATATTTAAATAATCTCTCATCCTCTTACCAAATAAATGAACGTATAAATGATTATAGCATTACACAGTATAAATAAGTCAATTCTACGTATGTCATTTCATTTTCGTCCAAATGTTGAATTTGAGTCAAAACGCTTAATGTTTACAGCTGTTACGTTAAGCAAATGGTATTATACCAAAAGCTAGAGTAGAATGTTAGCGTCAGCTGCTAGACTTTTAAAAATTTTAAACTCAATTTCTAAAAAACTGAAACCCTAAACTAAAATTAGGGCTTCGACATTCCCTTGTTCTCAAAATTACCTTTCTTTTGGCACAAAAATCATGAAAATCCATCGAGTGGTTGATTCAGAATTGTGAAATAAAAAACCCCTGTCACGTTTTAATATATAAGATTGTTAGTACCAATACTTACCCTAAAAATCAATGGTGCCGAGAATTTTCTTTCGGTATCAACTCATTGCTATTTATTTACAATGTTCTTAAATGGTTGTGAGACATGTTTTCAAAAATTTTCTTCTGCTCTCGAGAGGGGGGGGGGGGCAAAATATATTGGTAACACTTTGTAAGCCTAATTAAATATTGAAAATATTAAATGGATTTTTTCATGTAACAAACACGTATTTTTTACTAGTTTTGATTGTCTCCTGCAATTGTACCTACATTCTTGTTATTATCTTGCATTCTATGCGTCATTACCGATTGTCTCTTGCTGTGAGGTACTGAGATTAGATTTTGATCAGTTACTGATGCTGACCTTAAGAATGTGATGGCTCATCGCTAACTATTAACTTATATCTACAATTAAATATTCAATGTCTGCAATATTCACCTTCAATCAATATTAAAAACTAGTTGTTCTACCCGTGCTTTGCTATGGGGTGAGAATGCAGAAAAGAATAATTCACTTTTTTAAATCTACTATAACCAGGATACATATAGGCAAAGCTCAATCATATTTATTGATTATTTAAATAAAGATCTCTTTATGTATCACCAACATTTTATTCAACCACAGAAAATATTATCCTATTGAATTCTGATATATCAGATTAACAACTAGTCCGTGGTCTAGGGTCGTAAGCAATAGGGGGGCCGCTGCGGTGTTGTACAAAAACGCTGTGATCACTGGTGACTATGATGACTTACCCTTGATGGTGGAGATTTTCACGATTTTTCCAATCTCTGGTTAATTTTGCCTAGGCCCATAAGTACCCTAAATCCATCACGTTTGGTAAAGTGGGGGTTAATTATCCTAAAGCCCTAAAATCCCAGACAATGCCCCCAGACAAAATACGTCTAATACACTAGAAATATATAGACTATGTTCGCCTATTGAGTTTAATGATAATTAATTTGTAAATAATCAAAATAGATATAACGACTTATACCATATTTCATTTATAAATCTATCGTCCTAAAAGTAAACAGTATATGTGTTTCAAGTATTATTTGCCGTATTTTTATTTATTTTCTGTAAGTAAAACTTCTCAAATTAATTAAAAAATAAACATAGGTTAATAGACGCCATTCCCAGGATTTCTAGGTATCAAAAACTGACCGGGGTTCGGGATCCCGGGATTGAGACTCCTAGTTACAGTTCCGTCACATCATTTTTTTTAAATAGAGCACTGTCTGTAGTAATAGTAAAACACTACTGGAACGCATATATCCTCTGAAGCAGTGAATGTTATCATCTCTTTCTACAAGGTTAATTATGAATTGTTTTCTTATCACCAGTGCACAGTAACTTATTAACTGATAACACCTACCAATTAATGTTTATAGTTCCCTGTAGTGAATGAATAAAAATACAACCAACAACGCAATGTTTATTTTAAAATTTAACCTTGGAGCTTTAACAACTGGTTGAAATGGTTGAATAAAAAGTTGAGCCGAATGAATGTGTTCTTTATTCATTTATTAATGCAAGTCTTTTTATTACAAATAATTAAATCTAGTTTACATTCAAGTAAGATGATTTTTAGTTGGCAATCACTAATCATCAAAATTTTAACACATAAATGCAAATCAATAATTTATACTGGTAATAAATCAATAAAGCAAACAAATACATCTCATATTTTGTACCACCATTATGGTAGTAAAATTATTGTCATTTTTAGTTTACCACAAAATAAACGTAAATTTGTTTGTATCACTGCCTTAGTGCCTTATAGACTAAAATGTAATTACAATACAAGATGAACTTATTTAAATACTTGGACACTTATTGATAGTATTGATCTGATAAAATGTGTTGTGGATGAAATGCAATGTTTACATAACAAGTAGTCAAGCAGCGCACCTAATCTTTTTACTGCATCCTCTTGTATATTTTACTTGTATAAATGGGTTTACCTATCAATATAAGCCCATTCCATAAAAAAACAAATTTGAGAAAATATAAAATAATATATCATAATAGTTTTGTCATTCTCAAATTTTGTCAAAACAAACACATATGTCCCTAATGCCAGTCTTTGAGTTAATTATTGTTAAACTAAATTTCAAACACAAGCAACTGTCTTTGGAAGATAAGTTAACTAATCATGTTAATAGGTTTTTGGTTGAAATGAAATTACGGTAATGATAAATGTGCAGTAGGCCTACACAAATTATAATTTATTCTTGTCCTTATACTTACAAAATGAATGGATACAAATTAATGCAGGACATGTCAATGAAACACATTTTACAAAAAATTACTTTATAAAAACTTACTAATTAAAAAACATATTACAAAATAATAAATTCTTTATTACACCCTCAATTGTGAGGGTTCAAGGTTATTTCTGACTTGATAACGGCTATTTGATACAACAGTTAAGACTTTGATACATGGGCTAGTTCACTGTGTCTATTCCGTTAAGGTCGGTAAAGCTGTCTTCGATGTGGTTTCCAAAGTCGTAGGTGAACACTTTGAGTCCGATGAATCCTCCGAACCACCTGACACCCTTGTGGTAGACTCCGATGCCTGACAGTGGGACGGGGGGCTGTGGCGACACCATCTGTGAGTCGATGAAGGGTACGGTGGTCTGGGCGGCGTCTAGGTCAATGTCCGAGTGGGTGAACAAGAGGTACTGGTCAGACTTGGAGTCTATTCTGGAGGGCGACAACGAGTGGAGCGGATTGTCTGCAGAGTCTAGGCTCACTTTGGTCCTGCAAACACAACAAACAAGTAGAAACTCGCAGAATAGCAGATTTGGTAGCTGAGTTCAAAAGGTCGCTGAAACTACGCTCAGGTGTTCTTGTTCATTAAGCTAATTAACAATGTTGGTTCAAGAATAGCTTCTTCGGCAACAAAGCTACAGGGAAGTCATTTTAACACGTAGAGTGCGGCCGTTCCCGATCGGGTACGGCGCTTGGCCCCCGTACGGTGCGTCCGTACCCCATCGGGAACGCTCGGTAATGCCTTTTGTATATCTTCGTTTTTGCTCTAGCGTCGGCCGAAAGCGGACCTATACGACGTTAGCGTGCAGTATGTGACTTGCATTTTGTTGTGGTGTAGGTTGGTAGTAAATTTCCCCGTAAAATTCCCGTCTGGCAATCTCAAAAGTCTTCTTTTTGTCCCGTCTTTTTCCCTCCATTTGGCAATACAATTCCAATGGGACCGGCTACGTTCCAAGCAGTGCTGCTATCTGTGGGTGTTTAGCGAACTACATCGACTCTCGTTGTAAAGCAGGACATCCCCTCACGTTATTTGCTATTCGTCAGACCAAAATTGAAAAGGCCAATCACACGCGGCAATCGGGTTTACTCGACGCTGAGGGCTGCGCCGCACTGGGGATACGCCCGCTATTTGACGTGCCGCAGCGAACGTGTTAATCTACTACGTTGCATTGACTTTAAACATAAAATATGCAATATCGTTGGTGTTTCAAAAGTAACAATGATTAGATGTGAAAGGTTGCCAAAAGCAAAATTTTCATTTACTTCCTTTTGCTAATGAGATGGTAATAATGATGCTATACAAACCTTAGAACACATTTGTGGGTTACAAGTTCTACCCGATAAATTACTTCCTTATTAATTACTTCAGAACTTCATGGTGTGTTAAAATGTCAAAAAATCTAAAAAATACCCATAGTTTTCCAATCACCTAATACAAAATAGAAACACTGGCTTTGGAACTAATTTTGACTACATTAATTGAAATGTTTCCTGTTAGTGTTGTTACCTCGGTTTAACTGGTGATCCGTCCGTATTATCATTGCTCAGCCATTGGTCTTTCCTGCCTGGGTCGAGAAGTTGGCCTGACGTGAAGTTGAACGGGGTAGCTCGAATTTCCAAATTCAAGTGGGACCCAACCATTCGGAATTTCACTCCTGCAAGAAAATCATTGATTGTTTTTTACTTTGTTAATTGATTAAGGAGATTTGATTAATTGTTAAGGATTAAGCTGTCCTTTGATTTGAATTCAAGATATCAGGGGAAAAATTTGTTTAACTGTTTTCACCTCACTCACCTGTAATAACGTGTTCCGGAGGTGCCAAAAGATCGTCCAAATCAATGGCTCTTTTGTAGTAAGACATTTTCATGTAGTCCTTGCCCTCAACGGTGTCTTTGGTCTTGAAGTTGTCGACTGACTGCCATGAAGTTCCGTTGATGTGTCCGTAACGACCCAACGAGCCTTCTTGGATCTGCATGTGGACGACTCCGTTCATCTTGATGAATCTGATCCCGGTGACGACTCTGGAAAATGTATTGTGTTAATTTCTGTTGGTGTGTGTCTTAAATTTATTATGGTGACTTGACATGCAGGAATTTATTCTAAGCAGACATAGGTAATTCCATAAATTGCCAAGAGGACAATTTGGAAGGATATACTCATAATTTTAAAGTCAACAATTGTTCCATTATAAAAGTTGTACTGCTTACTTAATTTAGAGAGTTTTAGAAGTTTTTTTAGTTAAATTAGTGTTAAAGCAAATGATGTTTTTATTCTCAGGGAAGGAATTTGTGCTGTTGTTAGATTGTTTATCACAATGCCAGGGACGGTTGTTTAAAGATTCTTACTTGTTGTTATCCGTGTCAGACAAGACGTTCCTCAGACTGAAGTACCTGTCGGAGTTTGTAGGGTCGTCGCACATGCAGAAACAGTAAGAGCAATGCCAGAAAAGCCATCTCCACCAGCTGTCCACCTGAAAACATTTTTCAAAGATTAACTTACACTCAATAAATTTGTACACCATAGTTAAAGTTAATCTTGTGTTAATTTACATCCATGTAAAATGTAAAAAAAATAGTCAATCAAATATTTTATCAACAATCTTTACCAATGTAAACGGGTAAAACAGTAACACCCCAAAAAAGGAATCTTGTTCATTAATTTTGATTTAATAATAGTTTAGTTTACTGAGTCCTACTCAAGAATACATTATTCAGTTTTTCCTAACAGACTATACCAATTACACATGATGACAAGTGCTTGAGAATCGTGTATATCAATTGATCTACACAAACATTTACCTTGCTCGTTCTATGGCAGGAACCCTTGTTGCCTAAGACTCTTCCATTTTCATATTCAATCCAGTCATAGCGACGTTTGGACACAGTAGGATCCTGTAGTAAAAGAAATAGTTTTGTAGTGGAGACAAAGTAAGTGAACTTAAGAATTACAGGCGTTCTACGGGCTAAAAGAAAATTAAACTTGTTGAAATTCAAAGTAATTGGAAAAATTATAAGCTTAAGTGTTTTTGACAATACAAAATTTTGGAAGTATTTGTTTACTAATTTGCTGCATAGGCAAGTTGTGAAATATAAAATAATATTCAGAGAATGTTTGTCCATGCAAAACCACTCATATGCAAAATTGTTAACATTTTATCAGATAAATCTCCACTTACAGCCTGACAAACCCACATGTCCGAGTCTATGAATTGACACTCGACAATATCTCCCTGGCAAGCCCTCTGTTTGGCGCAGAATTGGTTCTCATAACAACTATGCTGTTTGGTCATCTGGTAATAGCCGCAGTTCTCGGAACACGTCTGCTTTGGATTCATGTCTACTTCGTTCTGTATATAACCCTGGAAAACACACAAAAATGAAAAACTGATAGCTGACGGTTTTCTATTTCACGTTAAATTTGGGAATTAAGGATTTAGATTGATTTGTGATTATAATGTTGATATTTTGATTCAATTGTGATGTGTTCAACTACTTCTGCCATTTATACTTAGATTAATGTTGATTCAACAGTCAATTGAATAGCCTCAATTTCTGCGTTACTCTACCTGTAGAAGCCTAGTCAGCTGGATGTACGTTTCCCCCTCCACTTGGTGTTTTGGGTCACATTTCCAATACGCAGAGTCCGCTTCTTTCAGTGCCTCTTTGAGAGAAATCGCTTGCTCAGCCATCCTCTCCAGATAGCGCTCCCTCATGAGTCGTGATTCCGTTGTGAAATTTCCTGCAAAAGATTTCGGTACAAATTCAATGACAGTACTAGTCAAAACAAAACAGAAAGCACAATTCGCTATCGTACAACAGGAATCCATACTTTAAAATAATAGTTAGCAAATTATTCAGTTAGGCTACCTTTCTTATAAAGCCGCAGAAGCATCCAGGAGAACTGCATCATGGTGTAGCCTTTCAGTTGTGTCATTTGCAGAGAGTTGTACAGGTTGTAGATGATCTGGTGTGGTGATTGTTGAACGTGACATAGCGAGTTCTCCCCTTCCTGTAACATAGATGGATTTTTGATTTCACAAGTTTTACTTGAATATTTTCTATATAAGTTTTCACAATAAATGTTATGTTAATTCTCGCTACAATAGAAAATCTTCATTGGTAGGCTTTTTTTAGCCGAAGTAATTAGAATGCATAGTGGTTTTTGGCATCATCTGTGTTGTCAATTAAGAATTTTGTCAAACGTTTTGTCTTTGTTAGTCTCAGCCTAGCCATTGAAGATGCCTCTAGAAAATAAGGGTGAAACGTCTTACAGAAATCTACAACAGACAACATAGTCAACGCCAAGAAACCATTATGGATTCTAATAACAATTAAAGAAGTTTTTTTTTTCAACAGCAAAGAGCATTTGACAAATTTATTGCTTAAAATATTTCTGTTGTGTGATGGAAAATAATACTAATATGTATAATTGGAATTCAAAACTGAATTCAAGCTGAAAAATTAAACAGAATTACATATTTATTGAGCACTGGCATTTTATGGTCGTGTTTACCTCCCCCATGAGAGTGTAGAGGGAAGGTTCAGTGGTTCGCTCACTGCCAGTCACCAGGTAGTGTATAGCCTCCAGAGAGCTAGGTACGGAATGTAGAGTATCAGACTCGTGTAGGACGGATTCCGCGAGGTCCTCCCACGCTCGCTGGAACATCTTGTGTTTGTGCGCCGGCTCCAACTGGTACTTCCTGAAGTTGCCGTAAAGACCCTCCACTCCGACAAGCTCCACCTTGATTCTAGCGTAGTTCCAAATATCGTCGCAAACATCGGGAATCGAAGCGGGGACGAAACGGTCTATCCTATCGCAGATCACTTTGTACGCCTGTAGCATTGCGGAGTCCGTTCCGTGCGATTTTTGCGCATTGTAGATCCACTCGTAATTGTCTGTTATGTTTGACCACAATTCGTCGATGTACGTTATCGCTGAGTCTCTTATTATATCTGCTTCACTGAGTGGTTTGTGAGGTACCCTGCTTTCGACGGTGGTCGTGGCCACTAGGAGCACTATTGCTAACGTAATCTTTGGATTTAACATTTTGGGTTTATTTACATTTGCTGAGGAACCTGAAAAAATGTTGGAATATTTTTCATATTAGTGTAAAACATCCTAACGCTACAAGTATTTTTCTTAAAAAACTATGTGTTCATAAATAATGTCATAAATAAGTAATGTGAAGAAGTTTGGTAATGTTTTCGTTACAATTTTGAAGTTTTTTTTTATTTAAGTTCAATTATTTATCCATCACAAAACCAGCCCTGCGTCTATGCCTAATGTTGTTGTATAATGTTGCTAACAAAAACAAAACTACATTTTACTGGATAATAATTTCGATCCCATATTACTAAGATAAATTAAAATTGAACTTTTAAAACATCAAGCCAACTGAAAACTAAATTTGGATAATTATTTTAGCCTACTTGCAAACGTGATGACAAGGTATTATTGTGTGCCATGTGCTGATCAGAAGGATATTACACAGACTGTGTTGTTGTAACATTTGCACCTGCTGACTGTGTTTGTCCTTGAGACTTGCTCTTTGTTGTCCTGTGAACTGGGATTTGCACAGACTATTCATCGAGCTGTAATCGTTAATTGTTTTAAACAAGGGGTGTTATTTAACAAGTTTAGGATATTTCTCAAATGTCAAAAAACTTATATTTTGGTCCTTTAATTGTGTTATAATATTCTAATTATTATGTAGGGCCTATTGGACTACCCTGCAACATCTTTGGGCTTTATATTAGAATAAATAAATTTAGGAAAATGAATCCTGATAATATTGTTCAACTAAAGTGTGATTTTGTTTCTTATTATTCAGTTTATTTATTTATTTCTACGGCAAACAGCCGTTATACAATATTTACATCAAAGCAAATTGGTTTTCACAAGTATGAATAACAAGGAGTGTAATAAATAGGCCCAATTACTATCCTGAGTAACCATATCCCTTAAACCATAACTCAAGGCTGTTAAAAAAACATTTTGCTAAAAAATATATTTTGCCAGATCTGTGTAGGCTTGTTGCTTGTGTTCGTCACATTAATAATACTTTTGCTGATTGTTTTTAACTAACAAAATAAAGTCCTGTACTTGCATCTCATAACCCTACAGTTCAATAACCATAAAACTTGATCCCTAAATGTGCACAATGCACTATTTCGCATGGCTTCAATGCCACTTAGCTGCAATGGAATTTGATTGACAAGAAATGCAACGAGGGTGTGTAATATTTATTTGACCTTCGTCCAGCTAATTCAACAAGGCATAGAGATTGGTTGAAGATTGAATTAAAGAGGCTACATCAGTAATGTCATAACATCTTGTAAACACGCTACACTGCTATCAATGCCTTCCGCTTTAGTAATCTAACTTTATATCTTCCTGTATGAAGTTATATCCTTCCTTAAAGAGTTTTTGTAATTGATTGAGCATCCAAAAAATTCAATAGAAAAATAATTTTATATTAGTTGGTAAACATTCTGGTTTAGAATTTAAATAATTGAAACACTTTTTAAAAGTCATTATACCAAAACAACTACAGGAAACTCATACAGCCACTAATATGTATCCAATCGTCATAAAAATAAAGAAACATTTTTTCTTATTGGATTTGACACTACTTTAGGTAGGCCTTGGTAATTTAAAAAACACATTTTTAAAATTATCTGTTGCTCTCCATGAATAAAATAATCCAAATCTCTTTTTGCATTCTTGGCAAATCTACTTAGATCCATATAATTTTATAACCATAAAGGTGAAGTTAGTTTTCTGGCATTTAAATATTAGGAGTTTATTCTATAGGTTGCCTATAATTGATTTCTGACATCATGAAGCTTATCATCTGACCAATGTCAAGTTCATGTTATATGTTGGACCCAATTATGATTGTCAATAATCTGCAGCTCTATTAAAACTAGCTTAGATTTCAATGGAGTGATTCAAGTCTCTGTAAAAATTGCACCTATAAATTAGTTATCATCTAATTAAGTCATAACTCCTTATCAAAAGCTAATCAGAAACAATGATTTTACACCTGCAATTAAACCAAGGTTTATAGTCATGATAGAATTGTTTGTACCTGAATTAAGTGTTCAAAGCTACTCTCGTAAAGTGACATTTTTAGCCTATTATGTAATCTTTAATGGCCAAATAAACAATTTGAATTTTGAATTTGATCTTGGTTGAGATTTATAAATACTTGTTTCAAATCGATTTTTCATAAATAAATTTGTAAGTGAAATATTTCATATTGACAAGTGCATTTGAGAAGTAAGTTAGTACAATTTTGTAAAACATCAAGAAAGAGAACTAGTAACAAAGTTAAAATTTGATTTAGCAATTTTATTTTGTCTTGGCATATATTTTAAACAGTCTCTATTTGTTATCATTAGGTTGTTTAGTTGAGTTAATTATTCTGTCTGTAATACGATTGATATGGTCAACAATTATTTGTTAAAGTATTCATCAATTTATTCTGGAGGTTGTGAGGTGCAAATTTTGTTATTGTTAATTCAAGATGTTGCCATTTTTAATTGAAGGTAGACTATTAAACCTGCTTGATCAAACCTAATCTATGGATCTAGAATTGAAACCACTCAAACAACAGTTATTTATGAACGTTTGAAATCAATAATTGTATTAAATCATTACATTTGTGATAACACTGGGTGCATTTAAGTAGGTTGTGTAACAGTTAGGTCGCAAACCGTTATATTGACAAGGCCATGGATCAAATCACTGACACTATCACATGAGGACTTTCACACTGAAATCACATCCCTAATGATCCACTGTTCCTCACACTTAACCTACACACACTGACACTGACTGAAACCTGAAACTGAATGTCTCCGACTGACTGACTGACAGAAGTGACAAAAACTCACTGCGTCACAGTGTTGCCACTCTCCCCCTTCGCGGCGACAAATTTCCCCACCCAGGTGTGGAGGGGCTACTTCCTTCTCGTTTCGACTTCCTCTTTGATCTAATTAACTCTGTCCGCTCTGTCTCGTTATCAATCGTTGTGTTAATATACCTCGATGGTATCAATGGACAATCAAGCAATGTTTTTGTTAGTAGTTTAGGTAAAGTTTTAAAATTATCTGAATCACTTTAATTGTGATTTGTAGCAGATAATTTAGTAGTGATTGCTCATTATTTTATTCCAGAACATAATTTTTCAACGATTTTTTTCCAATTTTTACTTTATGATGAAACAAGGTGAAACAAGGATGAAACCTTAAAGTTCAGTTGCTGATTTATTGGTAAAACTTTAAAAGATACATTTGATTCGCTGTGGTTTAGAAAGTTGAATACTTTACATTTACGAAATTCGTTTCTATATCACATTAAATACATTTTTGGTATTGCTAATCTCAGTCGGATTTCCCAGAATAATCCCTCCACTTATCCAACATTGTCTAGTGACATTGGGACTACCCCATCCCCCCTCAAACAATCTCTTTCTCTCTCGCACCAACGCAAATGGCGTAACCTGTTCTCCCTCCCCAGTTGTGCTTCCTTTATCCTTATCACTGTCGACTTGTTTTGTTTTGTGGCATGAGTAAACAGCCGTGACGGAATTGGGGTTGTGTTGTTATGCGGGAGGGGGGGGGTGAAAACAAAACATTGGGGGAGAGGGCGTTGACATGTGCTACGTTTTTGGAATCCTCATAGCAGAATCGTCGTTTCTTATTGCTAAATATGTGAAGTTTAGTATTGGTGTGATTTACAAAGTTCCATTACCATGCATAGGAGGTTTAATTGTATTACTCGAGACTTCAAATTATAAGGAAATATTCGCGTTTTGTTTAGAACACGTATACGTCTTGTGGTTGTAATTGCATCGAAAAAGCTGTGGGCTGTGGAAAATACAGTCACCTACATGAACATGAGTTGTCTATTAATTCCCACTATACGTCTAAGACCTTAAAACGCTATGGTGCGTAGTTTTAGATGAAGAATGGGTGTTGGATGTATAAAAGCCCAGCATAGAGCAACTAGCTCCGAATTAGAAAAAACCTTCAAGTATTATTAATGTCTCTGGATCAAACTTCAACCGGACGATTTTCAGACTTAACTGACTCGATGTAGGCCTAGACTCTAGGAAAAGTTGTCGAATAGCGGTAAACGTTACGAAGAAGAGTTGCGGAGAGGTGAAAACGTAACAATAGTGTTCCAGGAAACAGCACGCCCGGGCCACCAAGTCCAGTGGTGCATAGTAATGAACATTCCCGGTATATGAATCACCACGTGCGAATGTCCTACACCTGTTTTGCTACTTTATCCAGCAACAGGACGAAATTATGCATACGAATATGCAGTATACTACATTTTGTTTACTTTCTCCTCCTACACATAGCATCGATATGCATAGTATATGGAGAAAGTATTGTTTTCGTCAAAATTTTCGAGTGTGAGTTTTAGGCGAAAATATATGTTTTGGGACTCTCTGGACCTAAAATGGTTTTTGAAGTGATGTCTGTTTGTGGATATGTAGGCATACAGAGCTACAGGCTATGACTGTGGCCTGATGATTTTGACTAAATGTGAAATGTGAGAACTTTCCAGTTTTTTTGTCTTCCCATAAACGAATTTGATTATTGATATAGTATGTTATGGGAGAGAGGGAGAGGGAGGGAGAGTTAACTTTATTACCAAGCATATACCGGTACTTATGAATCTTTTATAACCAAACACAATAGTACAATGTTATTAAAATTACAATCCAAAAGATATTGTTTTGTTGTGATTTACCCTTAAAATATCGTAGTACTCCCACAGCTTACCCATTGTTTGACAAGCTAATGGGAGGAAGTATGTCAGTTTGCTGATATCGTTTATTAAATTTCGCAGGCCAGATTGTTAACTATCCCGATCCCGTCTCAGGTGCCAAATTTACTTTTTGTTTATAAGCAAACGAGGGGGTTAAACAGTGTAAAGAGTTCATTTTTCAAGTGCTGTCATCGAATTTCACTCACGTATCTGAAAACCAGTCTACATTTCTATTGGACAACTAATAATGGACTGTCGCTCTCTAAATTAATTGATCACCTTTCTCCGTCTAACGGAATATACTGTGAATGTTGTGTTTGCTTAAACTACACATTATTGCATGTCGTGTGACGTCAAAGTGGAGCAATATTAGTAACGCTTGTCAATCATAAAATGTTACGGAACTGTTTGCTTGTAACAAATAAATCTAAGAACTCGCGGTGTAGTTCAATCAGTAGTTTGTTTTACCAACAGGATGTTTGATTCAGTAAACAATGTTTGAATTGGTTCATTGTTTAGAGATGAATTTAAGCGATTGAGTCACCATCTGTTTGTACTTTGATTTTGCTGCGTTGCCATTTTTTATCGTGATTCAGCAAACAGCTGTTTGCGAATGTCAGCAGTGCTCAAAACAGGACAGAGTTTTGACAGTTCAATTTGTTTTACCTGTTGAAATCAATAAGTATTTTTGCAATAACTTTAAATACGTCTTGTAAAAATGAAACCAAGCACCAGATCGACTGTAGGAAATCAAAGGTTAAGCTCTGTGTGGGGAGACGTTGCTGCAGAGTGCAGCTGCACTGGCCTCGATCACTTGACACAGCGATTATGAATGAACTTCCTGCACACGACCGTCAACTTACTAATATTTTAATAACGTCGGTATTGTGTGGGATTTAAGTAATTTAAAATTTTTCGTACAAGCAACGTAGGCCGTATTTATTTGCAGACTATTTTAGGTTAAGTAGAATTTGGAAAAATATTTTAGCATGTTATCTTTTAAGACTGTTTGTAAAAAAAATTAAAATAAACAATCACTTTGCAGTTTAGTTCTATGATAATATTTTCATAATAGTTAGTGATTATGCTGTAGCTTAAGTTTATTTTCGACGAATCGAAAACCGTAAATGTTTTTTCGAAACCCCGCATTTCGCTTTTGCAGTGCGTTATCCTATACCTGACTCCAAAAGATTACTAACATTAACATATTGGGTTTAAATATACAGGACACCTATCTTCTGCTGACTACAACCACTTGTGCGGCGATACAGGATTCCCGTATGATAAAACTACTCGGTGACTAAAGTTTCATTCCATTAACTTTTAATTTATTATCACTTTTTCTCGCACTGAGCCAATATAAGTTCAGAATAGAACTATATAATTAAATAAATTCCAGTCTCAAAAGGTTATATCAGCTCATTGTAGACAAAAACTAAGAGGGAACTCATAAATAAATTTCGTAAAATCTTACAATCGACATGAAATGTATGTTATAAATATCTTTCATCAAAATTATTATTATTTTACCGATCAATGAAAGAATTGATAAAACCGACATTACAGGAAATTACAAAATCACATAAGATTGTTCCAGTTTCTCAACATCGGCCAAACCTCACGCTCTTGCACTTGACAATTTGCTGACTAAACATTCTCTGCTTAAAAATGCCAACCAAACAACTTCATCGACTACAGCCACAATTATACGATTATACAAATTCCAATCCACATCTAAACTGCACCTAAGTAACTAAGGAAATCACATGAACACAATAGGCTAAGTTAATGAATCATACCGTGTGTTTTACGATAGTTTGAGTAAACAATTAACTTTAAAATCACAATTTAATTATCGACAATAGGGATTAGGCATTATCAGCTACGCTAGTGTCTTAGATAAGGGTTTTAGAAAGGTCAGAAGATTGACATAACGTCAATTATCGGAAAACGACACGCGTTGTGACTCATCTTATGACGTCACCGCACGCGTACGTATCATCGGTCAGTGTTTAGTTGTTTTATGTTTATTTGTGTACGTGGTTATTGTGTATACTGTATTTTAAATTGTTGTGACGGAAATGCCTATATTAGCTAGTTTACATCAGTTCTTTCTTCCCGTGACATACAGGGTGTATACAAACTTCCTGGAAAGATTTCTGTGCATTTATTACTTTGGTTAAAACAATAAAAATCATCATAAAAACGTGTGTCTAAAATGTATGGTTTTATAACAAACGATTCACACAAAAACCATTATGTTTTCGACGATGCAATTGTAAAATTCGGTTCATAAACAACTTAGATGATGTTTTAATGTGTCCCTATTATGAATTATCAATTCAATCAATTATCAATTATCTAAGATGGGGACGTCTGAGTAATGCACGGTCCCTCTAATTGATGAGCCGGATTTGTCATTATATTATAAAATAGTACATTAATTATGATTTGTAGCAAACCCACTAGTTTTTAAATATATTTCAGATGTCCATTTTTTAAATGGTCGCCATTTTGAATTGGTACGTAGAAATTTGTAGGAAATCAATAGCAAAAGGGGTTTCAAAAGTTATAGAGTAGATACAGTTCTTCTAGATAAAATTCACATATAGACAGACAGAAAACCAGTTTCCATAAATTAAAATGTATGTTTATTGTTTTGACCAAAGGAACAAATACTTGAAATCCTTTCTGAAAGTTTTTTTTACACCCTGTATATTATAATGCATCGGAATTATTGTAAGCAACTCTTATATATTAGTCTTCAATACCAGGCACGGATCACCCTACAGACCATGCAACAATGTAGTCCAAGTTCAAAGCCTTGGTTTTAACATAAACGAGTTAAACTGGTTTCCATTCGCGATTTGTTACCTATCGTGAATACACAGTGTTGATACCGACTTATTTTATTTGATCAGCTGGTAGTATCTTTGACGATTGATAACTTCCAACATATGACAGTGGGCCTACTGAAGTTAGCAGACAGGACGCGCTTATCAGTTTGCAGCTGTGCAAGGCTGGACTGGAGTTCCCAGAACCGAGGAGTCGGCACTGATAACGAGTCCCATGACTG